CTTATAAAATACCTGCACAAGAATAACATCATTGCACCAAATCAATTTGGCTTTGTCAGGGGTAAGTCAACAGAGGACGCAACACTACTATTAACAGAAACAGTAGCAAAAAACTTGATAACTCTTCAAAGGTCCTTGGTGTTTTTCTGGACCTATCTAAGGCCTTTGACACTATCTCTATTCCTCTACTGTTGCTCAAATTGGAACATATTGGAATACGAGGGGTTGCGCTTGATATATTCCGCTCATACCTCACAAACCGCACGCAGTGTGTTAAAATTGGAAATTATGTCAGTGATCCTAAATCCCTCAGCTTCGGCTTGCCTCAAGGCAGCGTCCTATCGCCCTCTCTTTTCTTGGTATATGTAAATAGTTTGTGCACTAAACTCCTACCAGGATGTAGCATTGTATCATACGCTGATGACACTGCACTGATAGTACATGGCAGCACCTGGGAGGAGAGCCATGGATACGCAGAGAATGCACTCAGGGAGGTAATGATCTGGCTTAAGAATAACCTTCTAACAATAAATTTAAATAAGACTAAATTTATTACATTCTGTCATCGAATAAATGCCCAACCACCACTTCACTTCAATATTGTTGCTCACACTTGTATTGGACAGGGTGACTGCGTCTGCCCCAAATTGTTACAGACTGACACAGTAAAATATCTCGGTGTCATTATAGATAGGCATTTAAACTGGTCAGCACATATAAATGCTCTAACAGTCCGAGTAAGAAAGCTTATGCCGATATTCAGGAAACTTAGGCGGTCGGCAGACATAAACACTTTGTTGGTGGTATATTTTGCTCTGGTGCAGAGTATAATCCAGTACTGCATTGTGACATGGGGTGGAGCCGGTACAACAACTCTACTCCCGTTAGAACGGGCCCAAAGAGGTGTACTCAAGATTATACTTGGTAAGCCAAGAAGATACAGTACTGACCTTCTATATAGTGAATGCCCGGCTCTTTCTGTTAGAAAACTCTTTGTAAAAGCGGTAATACTTCGTAAGCATAAGTCCACCACCTTCAAGCATATCTCGAAACGCAATAAAAACAAAATTTACTCGGTAACCACACATAAAACATCTCTCGCACGGCGGCAGTACTATGTCCTTGGCAATTATTTGTATAATGCTGCAAACGTCGATAATAACATTTACCCACTAACGGCACATAGAGTCAAAGCAATAATTGCTGGCTGGCTGAAAGGCTTAAATTACGAGACTGTAGAAAAAATCGTGAACCACCAAAGATGTAAATAGCTCTAACATATAACATGCTCATCTACAACGGTCACATACACACACACACACACACACACATACACACACCTTCTCACGCACACACAACACACATACACGCAGGCACGCACACACGTATGTAAACCCCCGCTTATGGTCAACAAAGAGATTGTTGTTATTTAATAATGTAAATAAATTTAATCCAGTAGATTATATTAATTAATTGAATTATATACTTTCTTTTTTCCTAATATTTTTTAACTTTGTGTTGATTTCAAAAATTGTAGTCAGCTATACAATTATAAATTGAGTTACCCAGGGTGGAAGCCGCTGACGACTGTAACACAATTTACATTAGTACGGTCGTCAACGACGAACTCTTAAATCATTGAATGTATTTGTTAAATTTGAAAAAAAAAAAAAAAAAAAAAAAAAAAACATCAGGTAATATGTGTCGGTTGCAATCCCAGCGCCATATACTCGTAAATAACTTCAGAAATACTCATGTTTTGTATCGAAACTTCCTTAACTGTATTGGTCCAATTTTTACTTTTTTATTGGATTACTGTCCAAATATGTGACATACCTTTCAGAATCATCCCGTGACCACGGCTATGAGAAGACGGAAATGAGAAGCAGTTCAAATGTGTAATACTTATTACGTAATCCCGTTAAATCTCGCATTTGTACAGAATAATCAGATCAGATCAGAAAAGATTAAAGTAATAATGTGAACTATCTATCTATCTGTTCTGCGCTAAAATGAATGTAAGTACAATTTCATAAATTGTTAATTTTGCAGGCAACCTGTGAGTTGACATATGATTCCAGGAATATATGACTTAACAGGAAGAACGAGAAAACATAATGATCCGTTAACTGCACAGATAAGACAGTTAATGCCATGCCTTATTGGCTCTGCAATTTTTTTTTAAGAACAATTAAGAAATTAGCTCTTACTAGAGCTTATTTCTTAATTGTTCTTAAAAAAAATTTACGTTAGTTAGTAGTTAGTTACACAAAGTTTCAAACAAAATTCGTTTCAAATTTCGCCTCAAACGCAGAATTCAAGTTTTGAGCTTTGAAAAAGTAGATAGAAATCCAAAAAAAGCAAAAAGTTTTATAGATATCAACTTTCCCATACATAACAAGACCTCTTTAGTAATGTAAGCTAAAAGTATTAAATCGACGTAGATTGATCAGGTACTCTGCCCATAGAATGTTGGTTAAAAATTTGAAGCTTGCAAATTCAGTGTTAGTCATTAGTACTTCTTTAGAAGTTGACATAAAAATAGTAGTAAAAGGTAATGTAGTATTTGCTGTAGTTAAAGAGGTACTGCACATATTGTTTTGAAAAGAAGATATGTACAAGTGTAAACAGTTATATTTATTAAAAAGTCCGTTCAGATGATAGACGTTAGCCGCATATGACACTGTTATGGCTATAAAAGCCAAACGCGTTTAACGATTCTCAGGCGTTGTAAGTGCGTTGTAGAAGTTCAGAGGGCCTAGTGTAAGTTCATTTCACTTCTACTCGATCGTCACGGTGACCGCGTACGGCGCTGTGACTGGCCCGAACTAAACTCTTCACCAATCACATCGCCGAATGTCATTACGATCGAGTAGAAGTAAAAAAAACTTCCACTATTCGCAGATCAGTACAGTGAAATTAGTCTCGAGAAATTTTTGCATATGTAGTAGTGTGTATATTACTCAGATCTTAGAGCGCGTTTCCACTATATCATTCTGGCCTATACAAAAATGTTTCGATATCCTAACATTACTATTTAATTTTATACTTATCCCTAGCAATACTCTGATTTTTGTTTTCAATAAAAACAAATTTTTATTTTAAAGAAAAAGGTTTTGACTTTATAAAAAAAAAAAGGTGTGTGTGCGATTCACACACGATAGAAGTGAAACTTCAAAGAGGAGAGACCGATTTTTAATTTTATTTTTTTTTTCCTTTCATCTAGGTTTTTAGAACTCCGGGGAGTCTACGGGGGGTCAAAATTTTTGTTATTTTTGGCCTAGGACGCACCGTTTCCGAGATATTTCAATCTAAAGCAAAAAATCGTCACTTGATAGTGGAAAGTGGAAACACGCACAAAACCAGAATAAACCAGTTTACGCTGTCCGCTACCATACACTACTACAAACGCAAAAATTTCTCCAAGCTAATTTACCTGTATTTGTTATAAATTGGGCGTAAAAAAAAAACTGAAATAATTTTTTAGATCTCTATGAATTGCTTTTCTAAAAAGCCAATTTCGTAAAATTTACTAATTGATTGAAGTGTATATTCTTAAAATATCGTCCCAACTACATGCAATAGAAAAAAATGTTGTACGGATTTCATTCAAATTGCTGAATCCTTAAATTGAAATTACATATTGGTTATTGCTTGTAACTCAAAAAGAATACAATATTTTTAGAGTGTTTTAATATATCACAAATACACAATGGGAAAATACTGTCAATATATGAGAAAAGGAATATTAATTTCTACTAAAAGTTTTTTTATACTAGCAAAAAAGAGTGCAATTTGTTTAACAATGATGGGATATAATAGGTTATTTAATACATAGTATTCATCACCTGCCTTCCTTTATCCCAATCTTATTTATGGTCGGCGAAGTAAGTATGATTCTTCCATTCTACTCTATCATTCGTTATCTCACCGTTCACTTCCTTCCTAGCCATATCCTCACTTACACAGTCCATCCACCTTTTCTTTTCTTATGCATATATTAAGTAGTGAATAAAATTAGTAAAAAATCAATTGTCCGGTAAAAGTATAAAGCTGAAGGTTTTTTGTTTGTTTTGTTATACGCGCTAATTTCAGGAATTAATGGATCCTATTAATTAATGGATAAAAAAGTTTTAGTGTTGGATAGCCCCTTTATTAAGGAAGGACTACATAAAATCTCGTTATGACTAACAGGAGCCGAGCTGGGAACTGCTGAAACTGTTTTTTTTACTTTTTCAGAGACGCAACTGAGCTCGTCAGCTAGTCATATATACTTTACACTAATCGCACTAATATTTATTAAGGCAAAAGTTGATCATTTTTGATCAAACCGCTTGATCAATTTGTCTGACTTTTTATTAAATAAAATAAAGTGTAGTGTCTAATATTTTCTTTGTCTTTTTTTTTAAACAACTCCCGCATTAGGAATTTATCCTGACGCGATCCTGTCGCAGGGGACTTTACAAACATACATGAAACGGACACAAAGAACACCCAGACTCAGAACAACAATTTGTAGATCACACAAAGTGTCGTCCCATGTGGGGTTTAAAACCACAACACTCGGCGTATCACAACACCACAACTACGCCTCCGTGCAGTCAAACTAAATTCGGTCTTAAAAAGAGAAAATGTCATTCCTACAAACGACTATTAACGATCACAAATAGCTACCAAGATTTTAATGATAGTTGGGAGGAACGGGTGTCATGTTTGTCTAATACAAAATGAGAATCCTCCGACCACCAGGCGAGGTGATCATGTCTGGCAGTACAGGATTATATCAGATCGCTATATAGGATTAGCAGTTACCCTATAGTTTGATGTGTCTTCCTTAGATGGCACTGAATTATATTTTTTAGTTTCCTTACATTGGAAGTCACAACAATAGCCTTTATCAGAAAACACTTTGTGCACTGATCAGACATATAGCATAAAATATAAACATATAACATTGAAAAACATGCAGACAATAAACTAAATGAATGAATATTACTTACTTGAAAATTAAACATTTCAGCCATTATAATATACGGCATTGGCGAAATTCCACCAGCGTACGCGCACTGGTACATGATAATCGCTACAACCGGAATCCAGACAGGAGATGACTTTCCGTATGTTTGTAGAAGCATCGTTGTAGCCAAAGTGGAAAGTGATAGAGTGGCTATTATGAATGTCGATAACAAAATAGGCTGGAAAAGAAAGAAAAGTAATCAGTATGTTAGCTATCTTTGAAACATTGACTGGAATTTCATAGCTACGTTGCCACAGTGGAGGCATTTGACTCCACTGTGGAAACGAGCTATTCACTGTGGAAACTCACTTTCACATTTAATAAAATAAGTATGATTTGCAATACTTGTATTATAAAATGTTTGTATGTTTGTTACACTTTCACGCCCAAACCACTAAACCGATTTTTAAAATTCTTTTACCAATGGAAAGACTCATTATCAGCGAGTAACATAAGAAGATGCGGACAAAAGCTTGTTTGATTAAATAAATCGTAAATGTTAAAGACTTCTTGTTCTTAGAGTACGGGTTAAAGCGTCACCCAGTTCATAACTAATGCATACCCACAAATATAATATAAGCTAATCATAATAATTGACTTAAGTTGAGCCATACCATACCCATGTTAGCACAACACTCAGATTCTGGTAGCAATTATTTAGTCATTCAATTAAGACACGTCGTACATTACGACGAGATCTTTTGCCTTTCCTGTTCTACTATTGGACTCGATTGATGTAAGTTTAAAAACGAATTCTGATAAAACTTATTCGCGAAGTGTTATAATAGCTGTAATCTATGCAGAAATTAACAATTATCTAGTTTATATAGTACCGTATAACAAAAGATTTTTCTTCATAATCAAGAGACGAATATATTAGTTCAACCTATTAATATTTTTATAGTTTAATTTGAAACATTAAACTTACTATTTATTTATCTTAAAGCTTATTTATTACTGACTGTTTGTTACTTGTTATTGACTGATGAAAACTATAAAAACAGAAGAAGAAAAGAGACAGGCATTTTATTTGGTGTTTGGCTTTCCTTAAAGTAGATAACATAAAAGGGTAGGTAAAATATTTGCAAATACTTTTGTAATAAGAACTAAGACATTATTTTTGTATCTCCTGTGACACCTGCATATTAAATATGCCGATAAATTTTATCGGTCAAAATTCAGTTCCAATCAACTCTCGATCTCGCAACTGTCATAAAGTCTAACCCAAACTATCACTTCAGAAGGAAATATAATAAATTACGAGAATTGGCCTTCTGATGTAACCCTTTTTAAGTCAAAAAGTAAGAATTTTCTTCTTAAATTTTACCTTTTTCATTTGACCAAGGTCTCAAAATTACTTATTGACAGTTTTTCGAATAAGTATACATACTTATAGACTTTTTACCATACATCTGTTTATTTACGTCAGTTTTTGTAATTAGTATTCCTAGTCCACAGATAAAGGATTTTTAAAGTATGATATATAGTATATAAAATATGACAAATAGCTAATAAATGGTGTATAATTTCGTAACTATTCCTTTTTTTTTCTGTGTGGAAATCCCCTTGGATATCACCCACCGGGGTGATTATGTCGGACTCGAACCGACCAAAAACCGCACGCCGTTTCGGGTAATAGTAGCCGGGGAACCAGGTGTACCCTAGAAAGAAAATCCCTGGTACCCCGACGTACCTTGGGCCATCCACGGCGTGTAGATGGCCCCCTCCTGTGTGGGAACCCCCATGTTCCCTTTGTGCTCCTAAAAGGGGCGCGCGCGCTCGACAGCGTGTCTCGCCGCCATTCCGGCCTGCTTCTGCTAGGGTGACAGATGGTCTAATCTGTCACCCCCAGGCCTTCGCTTATGGAGGACGGAGGCCACCTCCAGCGCCCGAGTCGTCTGCGGTACCTGGTCCGTTCCCAGGCCTGGCGGGCCGGGAGAGTTCTAAACCTCTCCCGGTCCCGCTCCGCCATCTCTTTCGCAAGCGTAACTTGCTCGCAGCAGGAGACGGCGGAGTTCCACGCACTCTCGCTCCGTACCATGGCGGCAATCATACTACCGAGCGAGAGGACTCCCACCCCGATGGCCACCACGTGGTCACGCCTCTGCTCCACCCACGCCGGGCATTCTGCCAACGAGTGCAGAGTCGTGTCCACGGTCCGGCCATCGCAGTGGTGGCACTCAGGCGTTGGCTCCTTGCGGATCAGACACAGGTGATCTCCGAAACAACCTTTCCCGGTGATCACCTGCGTCAGTCGGTATGAGAGGGTTCCGTGCCGCCTCTCGAGAAAATCCTCCATAACCGGTCTTACCGCCACAATAACGGCATGCCCTTGTAACTATTCCTCCTGTCCACTGACTGTATACTGACATTTGTCAGCCAAACAAAGTTTTATGTAGTTTAAACTTAAAAACGGCTCTCTGTATTTATGAACCAATGTAAAGATCAGAAGGCCAATTCTCGTAATAAAAGTTTAGACACAATTCAGTTCCGATCAAAAACAGAATATCGAACCAGACGACAATTATTTTCAGCTGCTACATTGTACAGTGAAAACGAGTACATCCAAATAACACTTTCGAAAAAACAAATACCTGCTTCAACAAAATAGAGAAAATGTCTTAACATATTTATAGAATAAATTGATTGTCTATATTTAGTGCTTGCTATGAGTGCTAGGTGTCTTTTATTCATAACTGACTTTTATGTTAGTCAAACTGTGATCAAATAATGTAAGCGTTTTGAACTTAGCATAATTTAAAGATTCGCATTGTTTAAAATTCGTAAGTTTGTTACATACTTGTACATAGAAAACAAATTTAACGCAGAAAGTGATTTTCAAAATGATGAAAGTAGGTAAATATTTGCTTAAAATTTTGTAACAAAGATACTTTACAAAGTATTCAATTGCTAGACAGTTTTCCATCCTCCTACAATCTTTTGTCTTAGTAATCAGTTTTGCATTACGGCGTCGACTACCGGAACTAATTGTTTTGTGGAAGGGTACCATGGACGCAGTTCGGCAAAACCATTTTCGTCTTCCGTTTTATTCCAGTAGGTATACCAAAATGTAAGAAATGCGATCTCAAGTTTTCTGATATTTCTACTTTCTTTCTTGTAAAAGCAATAGATGAAGCAATGAAATCCATCATAATGAGTAAAAATATACTTTTTTTAAACAAAATGTAAACATAAATGTAAACATAACGTATAAAATGAACGGAAAGAAAGTAAAAACCACTTTTATTTTCCATTTTTCGCAATTCACAAGTTAGATAATAATTGTGATATAAAACTACGTCTATTTGATACTTTATATTTTTAAACTATCGTGATATTTTAGATTCAATATACATACTTAGGTGGATTCATAAATTAAATCATCATCTAATCCACAAATTAAATACATATTTCAAGAGCCATATTTCAAGACTTTTATACTACACTCGGTTCAAAAAATTACGGGTCAGTCACAAAAATTGAAATACCTCCAGAACTGTAAAAGTTAAATCAATGAAATAAAAAACAGAATAAAGACTTTTTAGTTGCGCTTCTAATAGCATATTATTTAAACTGGTTGATGAAAAAAATTTCATTAGAAAAACAAAATTTAAAAAAATGACTATTTTTAAAAACAAAATTTTTGTTTCATTTCATTATAGATGCTTTCCATTTCTATTCTGTCACAAAAAAAAATATCGTGAACGTCTTCCACGTGCATAATTATTATTCTGTGAGGTGAAGCATGGCAGTCACGCTAGAGGAATGTACCAGAATCCTAACTTTTTTGGAACTTGGGCGGAGCCAGCGTGAAACAGCCAGAAACATTGGTGTATCTTTGTCGACTGTTCAGCGGGTAGTCCAGCGGTACCAAGAGACCGGATCACACCTTAGAAGACCAGGAAATGGCAGACCAAGATGCACAACGGCCAGGGAAGAAAGACAACTGGTGGCTACAATGCTCCGAAATCGTTTTCAAACTGCTGTTGGTCTAAAAACTCACTTTATTCGCTTTGGAGGTGGCAATTTAAGCGCTCAAACAGTAAGAAGACGTCTTGCTGAAGCAAATTTGAAACCATTGAGGCCCGCAAATGGCCCCAAACTGGAACGGGGACATCGAATTGCAAGACAGAGATACGTGCGCGAGCACCTAAACTGGACACTAGACGATTGGTCTAGGGTAATGTTCACGGACGAGTCTAAATTCATGCTTTATAAACATGATGGTAGGCAGTTGGTGTACAGAAGACCAGGGGAGCGCTTCCATCAAGCGTGTGTGGAGGAAAAAGTGGCGTACGGTGGAGGCTCCGTACAAATTTGGGCTGGGATTTCTACTGAGGCCCGCACCGAGCTGGTACTCATTCAAAATGGAACTCTAAATGCAGAGAGGTACGTGGGAGAGATCCTCAATGAACATGTAGGTCCTTTCATGGCCAGGATGGACCGGCATGGCATATTAATGCATGATAATGCACGTCCCCATACCGCCAGAATTGTACATGACTACCTAGAAGAGGTCGGTATCGAACTCATGCAGTGGCCAGCGCGAAGCCCGGACTTAAACCCCATCGAGCACGCCTGGGACGAGCTTCAGAGATGCGTGAAAGGTCGAAACCCCCCACCAATCACGCTTCCCGAGCTCAAACAAGCACTGGTGGAGGAATAGGAAGGTATTCCTCTGCACCGGCTCCGAAATTTGGTGTACAGCATGCCTAATCGCCTGGAAGCTGTCAGAAGATCTCGTGGAGACAATACAAAGTATTAAATGAAGAAAGTGATGAAAAACAGCAAAAAACAATCATAAAAAAATGTAATCTTAAGAAAAATATGACTACTTTAGTTTTTTTTTTTTAATTTAGAGATAAGTTAAGAGTTAGAGAGTTTAGATTTAAGTTTTATTTTATTTTCTATCTGTATAATTAAATTCTCAATTGAACAGTCTTCGTTTCATTAGGATGGCATACGTAGTTCGGGAGATATTCGGGTTTATGTGACTGACCCGTTATTTTTGGAACCGAGTTTATATTTTAGTCGAATCTAAATTTCTATAAGTAAATTAGAAATTATGTAATTTTGTCTTATATTTTATTATACATTTAAAAACTAACTATTTTGTCGTACATAGTGTCGTACTGTGGTCGTAATTCAGTAACTGTGCTTAATATTTTAACTTATTTATTTAAATAAATAATTCGAATAATTAATAATACTAATACTACCGAAAAATAATCAAATCACGGTGTATAAATTCAAGCTAAATTTATATTTGGAGGCCTGAAAAGTCTGACAACTTTCTCTCCGCAGAAGGTCGTATCGCTTAGCACTTGATTTATGAAGGTTTTATTTCAGTCGCTTCAAGTAAAAATTGAATTTTAGCCGTTTCGTAGTAGACTGAACGATGATCCCAACCTAGTTTGGGCAAAGGCTCAGAAATTTAAACCAAAACTTAAGTTTGGGAAAGGTTTTTCTATTAGTTATTTTCATTACCTTTCGGCCGAATTTTTCCACACAACTCATAGAGACGAAGGATGCAAGGATTGTTACTGCCGGAATGCTAAGTGATTGCGCTTCAGGATTAACAGTGATTCCGGAAGCCGCCAAGATTGCAGGCGTAAACGTCAGGAGCGCAAAAGTGCCACTGAGAGTGCGTGTTGTCATTAATGCTATATTCAAAAAGCAACCACGACGCCATGCTTTATTCTGCCCTGAAATTATTAAAAATATGTTATTAATAAATAACTCTCGCTTATCAAAAATAAACAGCGAAGTCTTAACTCTGTTAACAAGTCTATGAAGAAAATGAAGTCTATGACTTAATTAACATTAAATATGTTAAATAATAATTACGTATTAATTACATATTAATTATGTATATATTTAAGGATATTAAGACGACAAAAAATATAGAAGTTGATTCCGTTCTATTTTTAATAACACTATTGCCGGCAATCGATGCAACTCACAATATTTAGAAAAGTTTATTAATTCTCAACAATCACATATACTCGTACGTTCAGTAGTGGACGCCAATAGTCTGAAGCAATAGTAGTAGTACATATATAAATAATCGAGTAACGTTGTCAGTTATGATGAATGAAGCGCAATCCTCAAATTAGGTAATTTAAAATACCATTAGAAGAAATTCTTTTGTGAGTTCATTCTTTTTAAAGTTAAACGGTTTTACCTATGTGTGTATTTCATGAGGGCCCAACTAGTTTAAAAAAAAATAGTGTGACTGGCTGTTGATGATGATACCTGCCAGTCATGACACCATAGTGTCACGACTGCCAAGAGGCCCTTTTACTCCTTAAAAAATAACTCCCATTGGGTGTGAAAATAGTCGGCAAATCCAAACTATACTCATGAGTTTTTATTGTTATCTTTAGTAAAATGAGCAATCTTAAGATCGATAATGTTCTACCATGTCATACATTTCTGATTTACACTCGACATATTTTGCAATATCGATACTGTATTTCAATGTATGTCGTTGTATGTATGGTATTGAAATGTCGTTTTTAAGTGGAGATGGCGGTCTATATACTAATATTGAACGTAGAAAATATCTAAAATATTTTCATTAATCGTCATGATCACAAAATCAATTATAAAAACCTCTCACAGACAGGCATCAACACTCTATTAGATGATAGGACTAACAAGCAATGCTTAAAGGTAAAATTTAAAGTTTAGATAAAATTATCTTTCGTTTTTGTTTGCGCCTATGACAGTAACCTAATAAGGCTAATAACAGGAAAATACTAAAATGATAGACTTAGTACACATAACATAATCATTCTGAAATAAAATATAATAAATTGAGTGGAAAAGCGCAATGAAATAAAATACGTTTTAGAAAAAGTAATACCGAAGGCAGAGAACGTGGCATAAGATTTTTCATAAGATTTTACTTGTAGTTTTAGTAAAAAGTATTGAAACAGGAAATTAATTTTAGGAAGTTAGTTTTTAGCTTGTGAGTGAAATTAGGAGGAATTAAGAGGGAAAAAAAGGATTACTAAAAAAAGAAACTGAAAACTCAAAAAACTATTTTTTTCTACATAATATGTGTAATTATCGTGTACTGAATAATTATCATTCAAATAATAGTCTATAAAACGCGTCATGGCACACTACTTTCTTACTACTTTCCTACTTTGGTATAGGATAAATTCGATTCAATACAAGATTACAATTGAAGTGATGCCTTGAAGGCAGACTATCAATTGTACTCAAATAACATTTTAATTATTTACAATTAAGACCATCAAAACACAGAATATTTAGAAAAGTTACGACTAAACTGACAAAAGTATTATTTTACAAAGGCAAATGTATTCAACAAGTGTATTATAGGATTATAAGGGTCAGGATTACATTTTAAGGTATTAATCTAGGTTAATTAGTAGGTACAGGTTTAAAAGTGAAAGTGGAAAGCAACTGTGGTGGAGGTGGTCATTTGCGCCATTGTTCTGAGCACACGTCACTTCCTTTAATGACAGGACAAAAATGTATTAAAGATAAGCTATTTTAAAACAATCCTGTTTTAATTTTAGTCTCTTTTAAACGATGTTATTATAATAAAAATATTTTCGGACATCTGACACACAACGCCATCTAGTTTCAAACTAAGAAAGCTAGATTGACTGATAGAATACTTAACCCCGTGATCATAGGCAGCGTCTGCTTGTCTGCCCCCTCTACTTTTTTTTGTACATACATACATAAAGATACATAGAAAACACCCAAACTCTGAAATATATATTTTCAGATCATACAAACATTTGGTCCGACCAATTAACATAATTTATAATTTATTAAAATGATAATAAAAGGTTTAAAATAAGCGTAGAAAACGTCATCGTTCATCTTATTTTTATTAACACCGATTTATCGAACGAACAGACAAGTCACCTGATGCCGTTAGGGGTTAATCCTCCGGTAACCTCAAACACTCAATGAAACGCAACGAAAGATTTTTTTTTGACACCAATTTTTGGTAAAAATTCTGTTTTTAATTTGAGAGCAAATTAAAAACAAAAAACAAAATTTAAATGAAATCAAATTTACAAAAACAACACCAACCCTAAGAGTAGAAAATTAAGAAGATTTATCGTGATGAAACATTGAAGCCGGCGATACTTTTTAATTATATCCAATGTAGTTTGTTATTATATTCCTATAAAATAGTATGGAGTATCATATGATATACAAAATATATTTGTAATCAAAGTGATAAATAACAGAAACAGATCAAATGTAAAACCAACAGATATAGAGTGTAGACCGCTTAATTGTCCTCAATCTAAAACAAACAGTGAGTTTATTGTTTTACTTACAAATATTTAGGTATGTTATCTTCGGTATTGATTTGTAAACAGTCTCTTCATTTTTCATAAAGTCGATTTCTTTTTGTATAATTTTATCCTTAATATCAATTCCTCGCAAGTTGGACAGTGTTGAAGCAGCTTGCTGAAATTTTTTATGTTATTATAAGTAGTAGTTCATATTCCTTTAACTTGCAGAGGCAAGGCAATCATTCGTAGAAACTTCTTTGGACACAAGACTTTATAAAATTCAAATAATTACTAATTATATATATATTTTACTGAAAATGACAGATCATGTCTCATTTGCATTTTGGCAATTAATCAAAATCATAAAAGAGACTCATAAGTATATTTTATGAATTGGAACAAAATCGTAATGACCTGAATTCATTTAATTCTTCCTGCATAAATCATTCAAATCGAAGATTTAATCAAAAAATGTATAAAACTCACATCAGTCAATCCTTTCTTGACTAAAAAAGCTGGCGCTTCGGGTGCAAATAACATTGTCACTGTTGTTATGATTGGTATCCAAACAGAAATCCACAGCACCACATAGTAATTTAAATAGAATCCTAAAGCGAACATTATTAAATACCCCATGTTTTGCATCAACACCAAGAGCGATCCTAGTATACCTCTTATATTGTCTTGACTTATTTCTCTAACATATGTAGGGATTACATTGTAGCAACCTCCGGCTGAGAGTCCAGCAAAAAATCTCCCTACTAATAAACTAGTTGTAGTTGACGAATATATGTTGATTATCCAACAAAGCTGTAAAAGAAAAACTATTAATATAGACAATTTTTATGACTTGGGCTTAGATTATAGAAATAACAATGGTAAATAAGACTGTTTTTGCTCTAGTTGCATTTTATTTGAACCCATTTGAACCCACGTATTCATTAAACAGGAACAACTTGGCGAAACGACAAAATCTCATGAAAATATGCTAAAATGCTTTAGTAACTACCGGGCTCCTCTGTTTTATTTGACTCTAAGATATTCTGGATTTGCGTATGACTTTTGTTTGAGCCCACATAAACATAAATACTAAACACAACTAATTTTGCACTAGAAATTCTACTCTCGTTATGCTGTAAAGTAGCTACTATAGATTTTCTCTATTTTAAACCTTTAACTGAGCAATAGCCGTTTTGTTCACTACTACGTAGAGTAGACTTTACGAATAGGAAAGATAGCCACTCTGAGTTTGCATTAGTTCTTTTTGAGGATGACATCCGTGCACGAAATAATACCTTAATGTCGGTTTACGGCAAGACTACGGTCAAGCCGGCTCATTTGTGCATGTCTCTTCCACATGATCTAATTTGTTATTATGGGTATATACATATGTATACCCAAGCAACCCAACAACAAATAACTAATCTCATCTGCTCTAATTATAAACCTGCCACACACACATCTCTGTATCACTCAAAGATTGACTGTAAGAAAACGGCTATGGCATTAAGTCTGCCTTATGCAATGTATACGCAGGAACTATAAATAAATAATAAATAATTGCCGATTCTTTTTTATGTTGTAGTGATATTTAGCCTTAAGTTAGTATTTACCGCCTTCTATGGTTACTCACCGCTTGTAAGATTGCTATGATCAATATACTCTTTTTTCTACCAATAATATCAACTAAGTACGCAAACATTGGTACTCCAAGGCATGCTGCTATAGATATGAAGCTTGCTACTAATGATATTTCTCTATCCGTCAATGGCTGGCCTGCGGGAGATTCCGGCGATTGTAACGTTTTCATCATAGGTGCTACCCAGCCTCCCAGCATGCCATTTGTAAGGAGTGTAGTGTTAGCTATAAGAAAAGAGTATAATATTTATTAGACTTTATATACTTTAATGTAAAGGCATTTTAATTACATTTCATTTCTGATTTATATAAGGGAGGATTTGTAATTGGCCATCTGTTTTCTCAACTGATTTTATTCTGCTCATCATAGCTGTAAATCCTCCATAGTAGGTAATGAATAAATTAATAAATAAAAATGTTAACTAAGTGGTGTGGTCAAAGCAATTACCATTGCTAAGTACAAAATACTCGTACATAAACTATAGGCTAGCAAGCATATAACTGATAAACTTTAATAAAATTAGAAGCTTAAACTAAAATACGTGTCAATATATGAACTAATTGCTATAACCAATGACCAGAAAAGCATAAAGTCTTTTTTATCTATTAGATATGCTTTATCAAAGTAATATTAGAAACTACAGCGATAGTTTGGCATCATTGCAAAGTTCAAGATCAGTTCGCTACACCATCGAACTATCGTTTGTTGTACATGAGCAGTAATATTACATTCTTTTGTGACAATACAGGGAGCAGTTGACATTTAATATATATATATATATATACATATATACCAAAAGTATTTGTGAGCCAAGAAATGTTATCAGTGTCGCTTCTTAGATTATGACCTTTGTGGTGATTATTTAAGCATGTTAGAAGATAAGATATAAAAAAAATGTTTTTTTTAGCGAATTTCCTGATTTCAGGTCAAGGTTACAGTGATTAAATACTATTGATAAACTACAATTAAAATAACGCACAACCCATAATCTTCGGGTAATGTCACGTGCGTTACTCATAACTGTTTTGTCATAGATGTTGAATTCTGTTCATTTAGAATCGACATTGGTACTTGCACAAAGGTGATTGATTCTTTAATTCGAACAAAAATAAGTCTATCTGGCAAGTATAGAAAAATAACAAAATATATTACAACAACAATGATATATTGTCACTTTCGTTTTGTTTATTATAGGTTTCTATAATAAACAAAACGAAAGTGACAATATCCGAGGTGGTGTTACAATTAACGTAGTAATATAATAACGGTCTATAATCGCAGGTGACACGTTGACCGATCTAGTAGACTAGGCAATAAAGAAAAGTCCTTAATGTAACAACTGGCAAGTACGCGACATATTTTAGTCATTTATCATACTGAGTATATGTGACATTTTCCCTATGCAATTACACAAAAACATACTTCAGTGACATCTAACGAAGACATACCAAACTATAGAGTAACTGTTAATCCTGTATCGCGATATAAAAAATTCTCACGGTAATAATTAAGAGATTATTATTATTATTATTATTTTAAGTTTTAAAGTGCAAAACTATTCCGACGACGGTCAATCGATAGTCTATTGATACAATATTAAAATGGCAGAATTGCGGCCCTGCACGTGAGGAGCCACATTACAATAAAGCAACGTTTTTCGATGCGGCGCGCCCACTTGGAATATGGCGTGTTATAGGATTTGCCTACGATGTATATATATATATATATATTAAGAACGAAAGATAAAAAAATAAGTGAGAGAAAAACACACGATTTGAGTTTACATCTAGTAAGTAGTATGTATTTTTATCTATGATTAAGTATGAGTAAATACACATATGCAAGTATATTTATATGAGTAAATACGCATTTCAAAAATAATTGTAGCAGTTTTGTTTTTCTTTACCGCGGTTTCACTATAATTACATTTCTTATCATATCATATCTTGTTCGTTATGTATGTTGTTTCAGATTTATGTATTTAATTACTTATGTAAACACCTAAAATATTTGTTTTAACTAAACTTGGGAAGATAGGCATAGTATCTTCCCAAGTTTAGTTTGATTTCAAACATTGTAAAAGGAAATAGTTTTAAAAAAGTAAGTAACTGCCTAGCCTTAGTTTAATTAAAAGTGATTTGTCTTTACGAAAAATAGCCCTGATGGGCAGTAGAACGACTTGCAATATCTAGGTGAATATAAGAGTGCTCACACTAATAGTTCTATGCGATCTGAATAGCATCTTGTTCTATCGGAGCAAGCGTCGCTTTTTATTTAAATTTGAAAACTTTGCTGAGAGGTTCGTCTGTACTAATATTATTTGTACGACCACAAATAGAGCTTTCTGCAAACTACTTACAATATTACGAATATTTTCCACAATGGGCAAGAGAGTAAATGTGGGTAGCCATAGTAGTGTTAAACCTTCAGAATACCTGCCACCTGGACACCGACTGCAATGGCCAACATGGGGATCATTGAATCGCTTACGTAGGCAGGTTGGTCATTGCAAGAGCAACATGGCAAATTGGGGCTACATTGACCAGTTGCAAATGAGCTGTAGATGAGGCTCTTTAATGCAAACCATACCACATTAGCCTTTTATCCTCTGTGCACCTCCATCTGCACTGTAGAAGAGCTGTCAAGAGCAACGGACAATGCCGTGGCTATGGCGGAATTTTGGGCTTACAAAATGTAGGGTGTTCAACCGTTGATACGAGGAAAAGGATTATTTGCTCTGTGAGAGTCACAGTTAGGGTCATCATGGTCAGAGTTGTGTTAAAGGTTAACTGATCTGATGTCTATGCAGCCATATTGTTAACCCAAAGGTGATAATAGACCCCTAAATTTTCTAAGGTCAACATATATTGCTGTGCTTATCAAGAAAAATCTCATAAATGCCATTCTACTAACCTTGCAACAATCAAACAAATTTATCTAGAAAAACTTGCACATGTAGCTTTACTAAAATAAACATGGAAAGCCTTGGCAGCAATATAAGTAAAATTAATATTGACCTAATTTACAATACAGACGATGCAAATGTATCTTTAAGTTATTTTATTAGTTCACTACAAAATGCAATTTTGTAAAATCCTTTTACTACCAAAAATTCTAGAAAGTATAAAGCCATTAAGCCATGGATTACGCCTGGTTTCGTCCGCTGCATAAGACAGAAATAAACTAAATCAAAAATGTAAACTCGAACTAGGAAATACGGTACTTTCTGTATCTTACAAGGGATACAGAAATTACTGTAATAACATTTTGAAAAAAATAAAATTAGATTATGAAAAAGCAGGTAGAAATGGTAAACTCATTTGGAAATTTATTAAAAATATTAGCTCTCACTCAAAAAAGCAAGGGTCACCACTCGATTTATGTTATCAACAGAAATCGATGCAATATATAAAATCAACAGTACTTTTGCTGATGTTGGCAGAAATTTAACAAAAAAGATAGTAAACTCAAATACTAAATCTCTAATCATATCCCTACAACATTGTCTACGACATCCACACATTGAATTCTTTTGTTTTTCTAGATGTGGATGTAGTAATAGGTATTATAACAAAGTTGAAGGATGTTTGCTCAATAGCATGGGACGATATTTCTAATACTGTAATTAAGAGCTTTAAAGATCTACTAGCTTCCCCGTTGACACCTATTTTTCAACTAGCTTTACAAACAGGTGTTTTTCCTAAATTGTATATGTCAAACGTTGAACGACATTATATATGTTAAAGCCATAACAACGCATACGTACATTAACAAATTTTATCCCCTCTTAGCACCATACCTACATAATAAGATAAACAAAGTTTTGAAAATATATGACGTATTGTATACAAAGTAAACTCTAGTAGGAGAATATTTAGGTAAGCTGAATTACGCAAACACATAAAACATATTGGCAATTTTATAGTGATATAATTTTAACTAAAATTAGGTTATTAAACAATAAGTAATATATAATTATGTATACAAACAAGTCTGAAGTAATTTACATTATCAATCTATTAGAACTTTAACATATTAACGTCCTGTAACTAACATAGTCAAGCGACTGCTTGAAACACAAGTCTCACACCTAGCTCAGGCCGTTTGTAAAAGTATTTTTAAAATTTTGTTTTGTCATATACTAGTTTCATGTTAGCTTTAGTAACAAATTTTATATAAGAATCTAATGACAATAAGATGAAAATCATATACAAAATGTAACGGAGACTTTATTCTGATTCAGCAAATATTATTATTATTTTTAAATCTTTTTACGAGAAACACCTCTAATATCCTTTTATCTACACTCATCATTAGTTTTCGTATTTTTGGGAATAAAACAACCAGGGCCTCAATTCTGCTATTTTATGTTAATGCCAAGCCACTGTCATTCCATTGACACGCTATTGAGATGCCATTGAGATGCCTCTGACATTGGTCAAAATATCGGTTTACAGCGTCAGTAGACTGTCGATATAGTGACATAGGTCATCAATGGTATTATTAACAACATTGCCATATCATGAAAATTAAATATATTTTTTTCTTACAAATTTAAAATATATAGTTTACTAAATTATTACAAAGACTTCGACTACATTTCTATAAGTGACAAGTCATAAGCCATTAGTCTTATATAGTTAGTAAAATAAGAAAAGTGCAAAACTATTCCGACGGCATTACATCGACACTATATTGATACAGTATTAAAATAGCAGAATTGAGGCCCAGATTAGACAATTTTTAAGAAGCTTACGCCGGGACTTTGGTACAATACTTAGAGGCTTCATATTAGTTGAATACATCATGGAAAACTACTGGAGGTAATAAAAGTTCGTTGGTGTTAGTATTACGTGTTATTGTCATTGTGTATATAATTTCGTGACTGCTATGACTGCCGATTTCCATTAAAATATAGAGATTGAAATATAACTATATACCTAAATGAAATTAATTTAATAAAAAAGTATTGATCTTTATTGTAATTTATAACTTATTATGAAATTTCACAGGAACCAACCTCTCAAACTTGTTTTTCAATATTTTATGCCATGACGTAAAAAGGCTCTAAAAAGAACTATATTCGTAGTACGTATATTATTATATTCGCAATTTTATCGCCATTTATTGTCATCGAATCGCTCCTAATAGTCGAAGTGTGGTAAATTTAATGAGGTGATTATTTATTGAGGATATTATTTCCTCAATAAATAATCACCTCGTGAAATTACTATTACTATTACTAATATACTATTAGGTATATTAATACCTAATAATATATTATTTCCTCAGTAAATACTGTATCCCACACGGCGATTAAAATCTGACTGACTGACCCAAATATGAGAGATATTATGCCAATTAGTAGTCTAACTGCAAAACTCATTAGCTATGGTGTACTTTTTAAGGTTAGTCAATCAACTGGGCAAAAGTCATAATATTTTATATTCAAATAAAACAGTTTAACATTACCTGCAAAGGCGACCATCCATTGCACGTAAGTTCTGCCTTTCTTTTCTTCTATTTGCACGTTTTCTGGTTCCATTTTATTGGTAAAATATTCTATTAACTACTAACAACACTGTTTTCATTAACACACATTAAAGACGTCTGTGTCGCACGTTCATGATTTGTACTATCACTAATCAGTCAAGAATATTACTATGGCCTCTAAAGTTGTAAGTATGTAGTTATTTAGGGTTGTGAACTGTCAGAATGAAGTAGAATGTCAATATCTATAGGAAATTTATGAACCGGTTCATTGAGCAATAGTTTAAATGATGTCAATATTTGTTTTTTGATCTGTAGGAGGTGTTTGGAGAAAGGAGGACGTTATGTAGCGTGTTTTTAACAACTAAGATACCGGTTCATCATCATCACATATTCTTCAACACATACCTTAGTACGTGGCATAACGTAATTTTAGGTATGGAAAAAGCCGGTAATCCTGAAGGTCCTGATCAGGATAACGACACAAACTATTTAAATTATTGCATTGTCATCGGTCCTTGATAAGTGATTAAAGTTTCAATTTAATTCGACGCTATGAAGTGGGTCAAAATCACGTTCGAAGATTCCGTTACATATATACATACATAAATCAAAGCGTGTTGATAAAAATGTTATATGCTAGCGGTGATTGACACGATTGGCTATATTGGAGAGAGAGAGAGAGAGAGAGAGAGAGAGAGAGAGAGAGAGAGAGATATATATATATATATATATGTATATATATATATATATATATATATATATATTATTACATATTTTGGCATGCAAGTTTGTATTAAAATTATACAATACTGCTACAAAAACTTTACGCGTACAGAGACTAGTTCAGGACATGTTTTGTCAAAAAAGTGTGAATTTTTTAATTAAAGAACAAAAATCCCGTCACCTGGGTGCCCTTGATGTGGTGATAATAACAATACAAGATGTACACCGTTATGTTGTGCGTTGTGTTTTGATACAAACACTAAGCAATTTTTGTTTATCCCTACAATGTTAGTCGTTCATTAAATTGGTCAATTTACGCTCAAGTATATATTAATTTAGTCTCATGACTCAGTTACCCTCGGTTCATTGTACTATATGTTGATTCGCGCTCGAATACTAATTTAATTACATTTTAATGCACAATAGTAGCGCCGAGTGTTGCGGGTCTCACACGGGATGACAATTTGTTTTAGTCTGAGTATTTTTATGTGAATTGTTTGAATACTTATAAAGCCCCACAGCGATACAGGAATAATTTTTAGTGCAGGAGTAGACTTTCAAATTAAACAGATTAGGTCAACAAGATATCACTACACTGTTCAGTAGCATTAAGTTAAATATTCACACCTTGCTTCCCTCCAATCCATTCAACCAATTCACACAAGTAAAAGCTCATTTAATCTAGTGTTTTATACTGAAATAAATTTGCTTTAATTAGATCTTGAGAAATAGACAAAAACCTAGGGCAACGTAAGAAATGTAGAAGAGGAAATGTGTAATGAGATTAGCGTTTCTACAACTTGGAAATCGTAAAATTTTGGTGATTTAAAATACTTGGTGACAAATATGTGTTTGCTTATTTTTAATACAAGGATTAATTAAAAATAAGCAAATTAGTTAAACAAAACGGCCAACATCTATTAATTTTAGAACAAGAATGAATGCACTAATGAATCGTGCCACGTCAACCATTGCAGCAATACTTAAGTAGGGGGAACCCTTGAGACTGCACAGTACTGTACTGTACTTTACACATGAAATTAGCCAAACTGGAGAAGATGAATACTGAAATATAAATGTGTAGAAAGAGGTAAGGTATAGCAGATTTTCTCAGAATAATAACTGATTTACGACAATGTAATGCTGGTTTTCTGTAATATCTTTTTAAACAGCCTCACGCAGTATGTTCAACGGACTACAAGTTGTGATATAGGGGCCAAAACACATGTGGCACCAACCATATCGTAGATTTTTATAATCACAGGAGAACCTTTAAACGAAACATCTACCCAAGAACATATTTCAAATAGAAACAATAAAACATCTCTATTAAATAAGGTTTTAAAAATTAAACAATTGACATGAACTCGAAAACGTTAACAATCTCAATTTGTCAAGAAAATCCACAAGGATAGCAAAAGGAATAGGTTTTGCTAACGCGATATTGATGGTGGATGCTTGCCTAGCATATCTCTTATCACGGTGCACGGCATGATAAATGGCAACTCATTAAAATATTTCTGTACCAATACCGCAGTAGCTTTGTAATAATATCTCAAGAGGCTACAAAAGAACAGAGTTATCTAAAAATATTAATTATTAGTTTAGTTTATCTTGTAAAATCTGACTGGCAAACATGTATTATAAATTAGTTTAAACATGTTTTGTACATACAAGAATACTGCAAACAATGTTATATTCCCCTAAGATAATGTTATATAATTTGCACACGTACACAAATGATGAAACAAGCCCACGAGAGTTCAAAGGGAGATAATGCTATTGGCGGCGCGGCGGGAGTTTTACTGATACAAAAAATGATACATATTTTAATTAATTCGGAATATATCTGTCTCGCTAGCTTATCTATATAATATATACGAGTATATAAATCTTCTATCAGGAGTTTTTATAAAAGTTACGATTTTAATTTTTATTTAATGCGTAGGTTTTTAGAAGGAATTCAATGACCTTTTTAAATGTTTGATACAGTTAAAAAGTAAAGTATTAAGATCCTGTTTAGTCATTAAACGGTATGAGTCGAGTATCTTGAGTATCAGTTAACTTAGATTTTAACTTATCTAATAAACTTGCCAAGTGAGCGCGGCGAGGCTTATAAATCCAATTTCCGAGGATGAAACCGCGAGGGACAGTTAGTAGCATATATCTTACTATTTCATATTAAGCAAGAACCCTCAATTTATTCAAGAAATAATATCTTGCCATAAGTTTAGGAAGAAAGTTGTCATTTTTTTTCATCACATCAATCACATCAACAGCCTTTAATAGTCCACTGCTGGACATAGGCCTCATTTTTTTTACACAAACTTAAATAGGTGGCTAAGGTAAGGGTTTGCGAGCAGTCCTATTTAAAGTGTAACAATATTAAAATGTAACAATATGTATAGTAAAATGTAATCATGTAACAACTCATATTTTTAATATAGAAATAAAATCACTATAATTATAATTTATTATGACGATGATTATTAAATAGGTGACATAAACCCGAGACCTCAGCAAAGCATTTCTTAGCTTGAGATTCTTTACTGAATGTAACAAAGTGTTGATAACCTTCATTTTTCAAGAATAGCAAATTAAACAAAATGGGATCAGTTATAAATAGAAAACATAAAAGATGTCCTGGTATGAATGTGGAATAAAAACTGGGAGCAGTTAAGACAACGGCGTGGTGGGATGAAATCCAAAAATTGTGGATCATATAATATGTATAAAAATATATATCTACAAAAGCCGTAATGATATACCTACTTGTTTGCTAGAATTACTGCTTCAAGAAGTTAAAAAAGACGTGCCCTCCATAGAATACACGTGTAGGTCAAACAAAACAAAATTTTGTCTCGGAATACAATTTCAAAATTTAAGAATTTTAATTGAACAAGTATTCTAGTCAAAATATACCTTTGTACCTACAAGATATTGTTCAATATTTTGCACTATTTTGCTACTTTAACAAATAAAAGCTTATTCTTATCAACTTATACTCATCAATAGCAAAATGAGCTCAAATGACAGATTGTTAAATTAAAGGATAAAAATTGAATTAATTTTTTCACGAAAAAATTACATTCTTATTGTAATCACTATTTGTTTTTGAACCAACTTAGCTGGATGATAAGTGAGTTTCACTAGTACAAAAATCATTAACACGAATTACGTTTTTAAATAATTATATGAAATCAAAGTCAAATGAAGTTCAATCTCCTTATGGAAGTTATGGGAACTGAGACATTTATTTTAGTACTGATCAAACTATTGAATATAAAAATTTGTTTGCCTTCTTTGACAAACTCTTCACTACTCCAGGCTTAATATTTTACGCAGAAATATAGCAGTCTATTCTTTCTCACCTATAATCTTAACTTGGCCATTACTGCTACCCGCATCATCTAAAACATTATCTCTAAGGAATGATCTTTTTGAATGTCGACGTTTTAGTGCACCAACCAAGTAGATTACTTTTAAATATATTTATTTAGTTATTTATATATAATCAGATTTATCTTTATACAGTTTAGTTATTTTTATTTAGTTGAATTCGACATATGACTGGGGCAACTCTATAGAGACGTTAGTAAGTATATGGTATATACTCATTTTGCTAAAATAGCGATTTGAATAAAAAAAATAAGTTACACGTGTCATACAGAACCTTTTATTTCATACATGTTTTATTTTTTTAAAGCATGCGGTTTGAATTATGACCGTACGTTTTTCACGCTTGTTTATTTTTTTGATACGCACTAATTGGCCACGTACTAATCTCAGAAAGTATCCATCCGGAATAAAAAAATATATTACCACGTATATGTAGAAACAAACATTGGCTAAATAAACCTACCATAAGTTGCCACTCCTTTGTTCAGCAGTAGACGGCAAAAGGCTAATGATGACAGCCACATGGAATTGAATTTTACCCGAAAGGATGAATTCGGCACTTTCACTTTAAACACAATAACTTTGTACAAACTTTAAAACGTGAGTCATATTATGAACTCTGATCCACTGTGATAAACAAGGTATTAATATGTAGTAAATAAAATTTCCATTTTCGTTTAAAGACCCAAAATGTGACATTTATTACATATTTTTTTACATTTTAAATGTATTTTGTTTTTTTTTTGTACATGAATATATTTAAAAATGTAACATATGTATATTCAATGAAATAAGGAGATAACAATAACTGCCTCCTGCATCAGACCCTTGATCCAGACGTCTACCGAGAGCCTCTTAAGGTGTAGGTCGAGGCTCTTGGCTATCAATCCGTGAGCAGATACGACTAACGGAACAATGATCGCCGAATCC